TCCCTTATTAGCTCAATACGGGACGTGTACTTTTGTTTCTAAATACGGGACGATTCCGTTTTTTAAGGGACGGTTGGCAACCCTATGTGCTATAGATGTGTAAATAAGCTAATGCTAGCACTAGCTAGCTTGAATAGCTTTTTTGGAGAAAATAGTGGTTAGAGACCTCAGCAGAATCCAAATTATTGTGATGGTGTGCAATAAACTTTAAATCTTTTTGCCTTTGAAACTGCTGTTTCAAAGGCAGGGACCAGGTCTGCAACTGCTGGCAGTCAACTGACATCTTCAAAGCAGATTTAGTGCATCAAGACAGCAATAAAACGGTATTAAGATGGAATCAGTCTGCTATCAGTTTACAGTTAAAGTTGGAAATTGCATGCAATCTGTTTGTGATAATGCTTTGATTAGCTGTGATAAATGACCAAAAAACTCTGGTGTCTATTACAGAAATTCACATTAATTGCTTAGTCCGGCCAGAACCTCCCATATATAAAACAGAAAATAAAGACTTTCCCCCACAAATAGTGATATAGTTGCTACAGTAAAGCAATTTAGCTGCAAAATAACATAGGCAACCTTGCTTTCATTTATGAATAACACCCGTCAACTATTGAGGTAAGTCTCCTATTGCAAAGAGAAGCATCGCAAACAAGTTGCACTTATAGGAGCAGGCTCTGATTGATTGCAATGTGTTGGTAAATTAGACAACAATTATTTGCAAAGCTTTGCCAATCTGTGTGGGAGTGATTATAGTTAGTCTGAGCCAGACTTTTGTTTGGAGTTTGCCTCTCTCCAGGTGACCTCTGCAATCACCTTGCAATTGAAAGTGGTCGCCCAGAGCCTGAGGGTGTTTGTTCCATGTTAAAATATAAGTGCGTGGTGGGGTACTTCCAATCAATTGTCGAATGCAAAAAATATCAATTTTCATGGTCACAAGGAGGCTGTAGTCATATTTTTTTACTCTAGTGTGCCTGAGCCATTAATAATGTGGACATGTAGATACCAAAAATGCTGAACAGTAGCCTATGTCTGAATGTTAAACAAGCCCTTGATGCACAGAATAGCCACACTCTAGAGCACACACTACTTAATTATCTGATTTACTCTTAATGGGAGTATAATTTGCAACGTGAATACTATTCTACATTCAATTAGAATAAAAACTCCAATCTGAAAACATAAACTTTGCAAAATATTTATCAAGGTCATAAATCAAATGAGAAGTTGAGTCATTTTCTCAAAGTTTTCCGTACAGCAATTTTGCAGCTATTGGAGTCAGCCCCTGCAGGACAGTAGAAATACTACACGTTTAAGTAATGTCCTTCATGACTTAAATGGCTTCATCAAGTGGCAACTATACTATACTGCATGCTGCACTGCAAGTTAGAACTATGCTACCGTTCATATTAGACTAAAATAACCTCAACTCTTTTGCTAAATGAGAGGAAAACAGGGCAAATAAAACTCAAACAAGCAAAGTGTGAAAGCAAGCAAATTTCTTACTTAATGCTTTTAGAGTTGATCATGTTACATGATGTCTGTTTAAGTCAAGGATCTGAATACTTCCTCCATCAGACAGCTGTTGTTTGCAGAAGTAAATAATAGATGTGATTACACTCGATTCTAGCAGATGTGCATGTGAGTTAGTGGCAGAAAACCATTTTTGCATTGCATTAAAAAGTTGATGTGATAGATGAGATGAGTCAGACTGAGGCACAGATGAGTCACACATTCAGACCAGTTCTTTCAGTTTTGTGCACTATGTCTCCTCAACATTTTGATAAGTATTTCGTAAGTACTGTACAATAGGCCAAGAGGTGTGAAGCTGATAAATTGGCACTTGCTATCCAAATCTCATGTACTGTTACTTTCTCATAACATGGCTGTATACTTCACAGACTGAAGTTTGAACACACAGAAAGCTAGACCACCTCTATATGAGGTTTTAACTAGATTGCCCCTGAAGTTGCTCCTATATTTATTTCTTATGTTAATATTCTTAGTATAATATTTTATACCAAGTATGATTAACAGATATATTCAATAGATTAGTAATATAGACAGACCACAAAGTAT